ATCTATAGCATGAGATTTTATTTTATAGGATTTTTTTAGTAATTCGAATGCAGAAATAACTATATTTATATCTTCAAAACTATACAATCCAAATTTATCAATAATAGTATTTAACCTAGCATCCTTGGCTTTAGGATCGAAAGTTGATTTTTTTGTCATCATTGTTTTCTCTATTATGCTAGTTGCCAATAAAGATAAATTATTTTCAGAAATAGTTTTGTTATCCTGAGACATAATAAATTAACAATTGTAAAAAAATAAACTTGCCTGTGTTTAATATACCTTACTTATTAAAATAATATGATCATCCTCGCAAAACAATACAAATTAACCCCTTGTTTTGACTCAACTATCATATCATGTATAAATAATATGAATAAAATGCTTTCTTCTATGAATATTACTTCAAATTCTAACATAATACATTAAAATGTCAAAAATATCAAAACAACTTTATAGAGATAGCAAATTTTTATCTCCAAATATTTATGATCAAATAGAAACTTCTAGTCGTCAAATAAATAATCACTCAAGTCAAACTATATATAGAGGGATTATCTAAGTAATCAATATGGACAATATGATCAAAATAATTTTATCGACATAAGGGGATCAAAAAAACAAATTTTACATGCTAGTAAACCTATTAGTAGTATAACAAATCCTAGTTCTAGATCTACTCATATTAATATGAAGGATGATATTAAATTTAAAAAACTTCCAGTAGATTATAGACCAAAATCTACAAATAGTAAAAATAATGATAAAATTTATGAATAGATAATAACAAATAGACATAATCCACTTGGTGGTAAGAATATATTAGAATTCAGTATCTTATATTTAGAAAACCTGACTATGTTTTACCACCAACTAAAAGAATTTGTTGAATCTATATTACTTTATGGTATTCCCTATGACGAAGAAATGATGAAAATAAATTTAAATATACAAAAAAGATATATTTCTGCAAAAAATTGTAGTGTCCTTATTCATGATTCTATGTATAAATTATTAGATATCTCTACAAATCTACTTAAATATTATCAAAATATCATACGCATAGAGGTTCCAACTATATTAGATAAACTAGCATATGAAAATGTTAGACAATTTTTAAAAAGTAATGATAAATATATTTACTTTATTGAATCTGGAGAACCTGAAGAAGAAAATAAAAAGAAAAATTCACATCTTACCATTAAAAAAACTCCTATATATTAATTTACCAAGAATCTTCTAAAAAAGAATTAGAGAAATCTGGTAAAACTCAAAAAGCAATAGAATTAACAAGTATGATTTGTGAAGCTAGAGCCAAATCTGTTATAAAGTCTATTTTAGAAAATAGATCTGATTGTATAGTTGAGATAACGAACTTATTTAATAATATAAATATTACAGAAAATGAAGAAATAAAATATATTAAAGTTGAAAACGATAATGAAGATAATAGATATGATCAAACTTATTGAAATAATCAAAAAAATATGAAGGATTTTAAAAATAAAAGTTCATCATCTTTTTCAAACAGTAAACTTTAACAAAAAAAATTCTCAATAATTAAGAGTTTCAACGTATAGAAGAACAAAAAAAGGAATTTGAAATTCAAAGACAAAGAGAATTTGAAATTCAAAGACAAAAAGAAGAAGAATTTCTTAGACAACAAGAAGAAAATCAAAGACTACAAAACAATATACTAAATCAGTCTGTTTAAGATCTATTAATAAAAAGGAAATTGAGGATATATACATGGGAAATACTGATGAAAAAATAATTAGAAACTTAGCTGGTACAACAGTAGCTACTGATCAATTAATAGGAAACATATATAAAATTGAAACTATAAGA